AATGCGATCCATGGACATGACTGTAGTAACGCAGGAGACAGCCCACGGGACTGAAGGATTTTGATGCAGGTTTCTCTCCATTGTGAGGATCTAGCGTCCGCATTCCTCCAAAGCTGGGCATCCGGTGTCTGTCCCAGACCAAGTTCGGGGTACGACGGGCCTCCGCCGACAAACCCTTGGTAGTTCGCTAGAACGCCGAAAGGGGCAGCCAATATCTGAGAGCCTAGTGCAAGTTGGCTCGGACTTGATGGTTCATTCACAGACAAGAGACCCTCGCAACAGGATAAAGATAAACTTATGACTAGTGCGCCCGTCGTGGTAAGGTATACGCGAAATGTTCCCACGACTGCAGACTCCGTGTCCTGAGCTCTCTCGGTCTGACCGTCTCGTGTAACCTTGGAAGGAAGTAAGACGGTTCGATGATTCAGGGGGATTGCTGATACGCGGTTGCAGAATGATGCTGAAGTTGTTGACAGAACGGCCGTAATAAATTGCTCGTATGCCTCTTTTATGGGAACAGAGCCAGTGCCCTTGGAATCGAGTGCGCCGGCTGACAGAGGTTTGGAGTCGGGATCGGAGGAGCTTGGCGGTCCGGAGTTGCCCATCTGTGGGTTCCGTAATGATAGGTCGAGGGCCGAGTTACTTGACGACGAACTTGTTGGTGTATTCGAGGCTTGCTGTCCTTGAGCGCGACCCTTGAACAGACTTATTGGTTCAAAAGAACCTTCGTCAACCATCAGCAATGTTGCGCCCACGACGCTCACACTACTGTCCAAAACCCTTGGGTTATCGTCGCCAGACTCCACATCCTTGCCCGGAATGTGGAAATACCACACAACCCGTCTGTTCGCATCGTAGTACACAATGTGGTTGAGGGTTCTCAGTTCGGTCTCGACATCGGCGGCGATTGAAGGAAAGCTTGACGCCTGTTCAGGAGAGGGCTCGTAGACTCGGTAATTGATGGTAGATATGTTATTCTGGCAGCAAGCTGTTATCAGTGATTGCAATCCACATATTCCAACGGCCAGTACGAACATTTAATAGAGTATTAGTATCGTATTCGCTCGTGTCCATGTCGACGGTCGAGTCTCGCGACGGCGGGATGTGTTCCGTGTCGCAACATCAACTCTCGGTCGCTAAAGCTCCCAGGGGCCGCAGGAGCCGGTTCAAAGCTGTAGGCCGGCAGTCATAAAAGTAATGATTCGTTACGGCATCGGTTGGAATTCGCTATGCGACTGTAAGAGGTTTTGATACGGTTGTTTGGTTGATTTCGCGAAGTCATCGACTCCATCTCCGTAGGTCGAAAGCGCGACCAATGGACCGGCTTCTCGGCATCAACCGAGTCCAACACCGTTACGGGATTATCAAGCGTATTCGAAACGAACTATGTTGCCAACTGATTGTGCGATACTAGATACTTGGATGTCGTTTGTGTTTGGAATTTGTTGGATTTGTCGTCGAAGAGCTGATGTATCGCTTTGATCACTTTGTCGACGTTCAAGCCTGGTTGGGTCGGTAAACCGCCGGAAATCCAGCACTGTCGTTGACACGCAGACAGCCCAGATTCACGCGGCTGAATGCACTAATAGGGTCCTGCTGGGAATCAGCGGGTTGCTTCGACCAATGAAATCAACCAAAGTCCCTGGGCAGCTAACGCAAAGTAGTGGGGCAGTTTGGAAGTCGGAAAGGAGTTAGCTAATCCTCGCCTCACCGAGACCTTCCTTGCTCCAGCCAAGGTGAGGGCCCCCCACCAGCCAGAGCCGGGGACTCTTATCTAATCGGAACTTTTTGGGCAAGAAAAAAAAAAAGTCCCCTCGGCCGCAATTCCTTCACACCTAGTCGCATTGTCGCGAAGCACCCGCCCGTACAATTTCCACCAGCGGTCTCCGACAAACACGATGAAGTTGACGAACCCAGGAACCATTCCGGTCTACACCGTTTCCGGTGCATCGACTGCCAGGCCTCTGCCGGATTGGCTGGCCAGACGAAGAAAGCGATCACTCAAGAACGACGCGGAGTACCAGAGCCGAGTCGAGCTTCTCCAAGATTTCGAATTCGAGGAAGCCAGCACCTGCATTCGCGTCAGTGAAGATGGTGACTGGGCTGTCAGTGCAGGAACATACAAGCCTCAGATTCACGTTCACAATCTCCCACAACTGTCTCTGTCGTTTGCGCGCCACACGAATTCTCTTACAGAGAAGTTGACGATCCTCTCCTCCGACTACTCCAAGACTCTACTCCTCCAGGATGACCGACAACTCGAGTTTCACACCCCGATGGGCTGCCATTACAAGATTCGCATACCCCGTTACGGCAGAGACTTGCTCTACGATCGGCAGTCAACCGAAGCGCTCGTACCAGCCGTGGGAGTCGACCAGGATCGCATGGGTGAAGTCTTCCGCTTGAACCTGGAGATTGGCAGGTTCATGAAGTCTTTCCAGATCGATGTCGGCGGTGATGAGGAGGGAGCTGGCCTCCAAGGGAGTATTGATGCCGGAAGTGTCAACGCTGCGGCGTTGGCCGAAGGCTCCCATGGCCTTGCAGCTTTTGGAACCTCTATTGGCACGGTGGAATTCTGGGACCCGAGATCCAAGTCCAGAGTCGCGCGTCTAGGCTGCCAAGAGGGTGGCATCACTGCCTTGGACTTCAGCACGTCGGGACTGTCCATTGCCACTGGTTCCGAGACGGGCATGGTTCAGCTGTTCGATCTCCGTCGCCCAGTCCCTCTCTTGACCAAGGACCAAGGATACGGCTTCCCGATCAAGAAGCTCATCCACATGACAACAGCTTCTCAAGAAAAGAAGATTTTGTCTGCCGATAAGAAGATCATCAAGATTTGGGACGAGACGGATGGTACACCATGGACTTCAGTCGAACCCATTGTGGATCTGAACGATGTGTGAGTTACGAGACTGCAATCTTTTTCCTTTGAATTCTCACTAATCAGAAACCAGCGCTTGGTGCAAGGATACCGGTATGCTTCTGACTGCCAACGAAGGCAAGTCTCAACACTCGTTCTTCATTCCCAGTCTCGGCCCGGCACCACGATGGTGCTCTTTCCTCGACAACATGGTCGAAGAGATGGCGGAGGAGGTCCGCACCGAGACATACGACAACTACAAGTTCTTGACGCTGCCCGAGCTCAGACAGTTGAGCATGGAGCACCTTATTGGCAAGACAAACCTGCTCCGTCCGTACATGCACGGTTACTTCGTTGCATCGAAACTCTACGAACAGGCACGCCTCATCGCCAACCCGTACGTTTGGGAGGAGGAGAGGACGAAGCGCATCAAGGAGAAGGTCGAAAAGGAGCGCGCCAGCAGAATCAGAGGCAACAAGAAGGTCAAGGTCAACCAGAAGCTTGCCGACAAGCTTCTCAAGAAACAGGAGAACAGAGAGGTTGTCGACGAAAAGGCCGGGTTGCTCGGCGACGATCGTTTCGCCAAGATGTTCGAGGACGACGCCTTCGCCGTCGACGAGTCCACCTACGAGTTCCGTGCTCTCAACCCCAGCACCAAGGTCGCCGCAAAGGATACTCACGAGGTTGGTGTCAGCGCTGCTGCCCAGCCTGTTGTGGATCAGGGCCCCAAGGGTCTGGGTAAGAAGGCTACACAGGAGTACCAGATGAAGATCTCGTCTTCCAACCAGAAGGGCCAGGAGCGCGACACTGCTTTGGGCGCCCGGGTGCAAAAGTCCGGCCGCATCAGCAAGACGCATCGTGGAAATGCCTACGGCGAAAAGGCGGTCACATTCGTTCCCCAAGGGAAGAAGAAGAACGGAGGCCCTGTGGACACTCACGACGACTCCCGGCCGCGCGACCACAAGAACAACGCAAGAAGAAGCGCCAGCTCAAACACATTCCGAAGACTTTAAGGACAAGCGCTATGTATTTTCAAAGGGCATAATAATGGTACAAGAAAAAGGACTCTATACGCTACGCAGATCCAAGTTCGTCAGTCATCCAGTCTCGACCGCCTCAGCAAATGAACCATTACACCAGCACCAAGCCAGTTGGCGGCCGTCATCCCTCCCATACCCTGAGTTTCCTCTCACATTCGCCTACTTGCGGCCCCACCTCATCAACTTGCGCTTCGACTCTGCTTCCTTGAGGCCCTTTTCGAGATCTTCCGGGCGGAGTCTGGGCGTAGGCGGAACGTCGTCAAGCCTCGCGCGCCCGCGGTGGCTACGTGGTGGAGACGAAGACTCCTTGACTGATCTGGGGAACTCGGTCCTCCGCGGCGTGAGAGCGGTGACGACCTTTCTGGCGGACTTGCGCATGGTCTCTCTGATCTTCCATTCTCGCTTCTTGGCAACGTAGAAGAGAACGGCCATGCCAACTGTACAATCAAGGGCCCGGTTAGCGAATGGGGGTTTTGAAGGAGTTGGTGTTTTGGTTTTTCTTGCATGGATTGTTACGTACTTCCGAGGGCGCCAACAACAGAGACGACGACGATGATGGCAATCATGGCTTCACGGGACAGGTTGACGGCCCCAGGGCTGTCACCAGAGGCTCCTGCCTCGGTATCGACACCATTTCCAGATGAACTGGCGTCTCCAGGAGAGTCTGGATAATAGGTTTCGGTCGCCAGGGGAAAGAAGTTGGAGGTTGTGGTCGCCATCTTGGTTGGAGGTCGAGGTGCCACTCGCAGAGGGGCAACGGTGAAGACGGTGATTTGGAAGGATGTTGGAAAAGTTCTTAGAGAGGCACAGCCAGGCAAGGTGGGAAGGCAACCGAACGAGAGAGAGAGAAAACGGCGTCAGAATCGTATGAGTAAGGTAGAATAAAGAAGCTGAACAAAAATCGAAAGGATACCCGGCGCCACGAATGTGGCCCAACTCACTATTTACATTGTTCAAGCGCCCAGAGCATTATTTTCTCACATGGGGGAGCCCAGCGCCAATCGTTTACTCCATCCCCCTCCCCTTTTCACCCCATCTGCAAGCAGCCATACAGAGGGAGCAATCACTTAGAGTGATGTGACTGACGAAGCGAAGGGCCCTCACGACACCCCCGTGCAAGTGCATACATAGCATTTCTCACACGGCACTTGCGAGCACGCACGATAGCACGTCGGCCAGGGTGTGCGTGTGGTCCGAAGACCCACGTCCGGGGCGCAGGAACCGTATCGAAGCACCTTGTTCGAGACCGTGGGGACGCCCAAGACTTTCAAAAGAGAGGACGACCTCGTTTGAGCCCAGGGGACGGTCGAAATAGGCTCGCGACGTTCCCATTGGCGTTGAGCGACCTCGAAGCGCCGGCACACGGCGCTTTCACATCGGGGCCGGGATGTGGTTGGCCAATCAGCGGGGGGAGCCTGGGATGGGCGGCTCGGACGAATTTGGTGAGGTGCAGGGGTCGAACTGCGTCCCGTCACAATCCTACCTAAGGTATTGTGTCAGTGTATCTTTTGAGCTGCATTTCCTCACTGTTTAACTCCATCGTTTTGTATTACTAGAGGATTGCCGTAGTACATATAGACGCTACCCTGCCCTCGAATTCCGCACTATTTAACCTTAACCCTTTTTATAAGTTACCTATCCTTTTTTCTATTCTATCCTCTCCCTTATTAAGGGATCGCTAGAATTATAGTTTTAATAGTTTATTAATAAGTTAGTATTATTATTTAAAAATAAGTAACTTACTCTTATATATAGGTACTAGGAGTTTTATTATTACGGAGATAGTAATAGATATACTAAAGTACTTAAAAAAGCTTTTTAATAGATTTTTAATATTATTTAAAGTAATTATCCTCGAGCTATAAAAAGAAGCCGAGGTATTATATTAATACGGCCCTATTTATCTCGTTAATACTAATAATACCTTTCTTAGTATAAGATATATTAATAATATTTTATAATTACGTTACTACGTTTTATAAATCGTACTTAACGTTAGTAAGGTTTTTAGTATTATTTATTAAGTTTTTTATTAAGGTTATTATCGTAGGGTTAGTTTAGTTATTAATATTTTAATAAGTATTTTAACTTAATTTAGAGGCTTTTATAGCTCTTAAGGAGAGGCTTTTAAGGGACTTATAATTAGACTTTTTATTTATTATAAATAAAGCTATTATAGTTAAAGCTATAGTACTACTTACGGACCTTAATAGTAAGTAGTTAGTAATATAATTATTTTTTTCTTATAATAAGCTTAAAAAAGTATTTTAATTTAAGTATTAGGTAGGTACTATACTATTTTATTAAAATTATATTCTTATATTTATAACTTAGAAAGAATTAACTTTCTTTAATAATAAGGTACTTAGAGCTGCATTTCCTATTTGTATTGCATGTGTACGCGGCCGGAGTCAGTCACTCGAGATCGGTTTTTGAGAGGTTAACTGTCGCCGGCAGTGGATGTAATATCGACGAGCTTAATTGTGTGATGAGGGAGGGGTTCTCGCATTCTCCGTTGACATGACGATCCTGCGGTGTGATGGCGCGCATCTGGAGCTGATTCGAATGGCCTGCGTCTTGAGAGATATACTTTCCTATGGCCTCCCGCTCTATCTGTGATGCCATCTGCACGATTCGTCACCGTCACTTCTTTCCCTCCCGCTGACAAGAGAAGCAGAACATGTTCGTTGTAGGACCAAAAAGCGGGAGAGCCGAGTGGGACAAGCAGATTTTGGTCTTTCCCCGATCAAGCGCGGGCCACCTCTATTCCGACGATGATGCCTTGGAGGTATCACTTGCCGCCTGCTGTCCTTCCCGCTTATCACTCATGTCGTTTCCTCGGTGGAGATCCTTTTGGCATTGCTTGGCTTTTCCTTGGGAAGTTCTAAATCTGGGGGCGACTGCCTTGGCCTCCAGGCTGATTTCTCGGATCTTTTTACGCATCTTTCTCGGTTTGTCATCGCGGGGAGGTTGTTGCCGGAGCTGGCGTGACCTGTCAGCAGGTCGTATCAGAGGAAGGTCGTACCTGCACGGCTGGAGGTCAAGCGGTCTCCTCTCCCGGTGGCCATGGAACGCATAGAGAAGCCACGGTTAAAGGCCGTCCCGGACCCTGCCATTGCTGACGCGGAGAGATAACAGGAAAGTGTCCTGAAACCGGCGACTGCCAAGGGGGAGTCCTCGCTGGGATACGTTCTCCTACTTCTTTTGGATATCGGGCTGATGTAACTTCAATACAGATGTGCTGATAGATTGGTGTTTTCCACTACTTACTACCGTCCTGATCTGGATGCCTGAAGCAAGATCGAGTGATTGGCATTGCTACTGCCTTTTAACTACCATCCCTTCATCAGTTCGGCAAACTCCCCAGGCAATTTGTCATGTGTTTAATTTACACCAACCGCTGTTCCGGGCCAACGCAGGTAGGACATGGGAAGCTTCCGACATATGTAGACGGTAAATGAAGTTCTCATTATGTGCCGAAAAGGTCTTGGAGACGAAAAGTCTAGTTCATGTCAAACCGGGTTTTCTTATTTGCCAGAGAAAAAACATTATCTTGACAGCATGGTACATCAACAGGAAGGAAAGATACACGCTTCTGGAAGGCATGGGCGGTCGAATGCAGGTAGCTAAGGCAGGTATCTTGAGCAATTGCTCTAGAAGCGTGGTTCCTTCCAACCGATGATAGAGAGCGGCTGTTGCCACATTGTTTTTAGCCATTGCTTTCCTGATCTCAAAGGACGAAAGCTCTTTCTGCATCCCAGAAAGGAACCATTAAGTTCTATGCCTTGCGATTACCAAAACCCCATCAGCATTTGTGGCGCGGCAGGTAACCTTCGAAATACCTCCCCGTTCTGGAGATCCATCTCATTAGGTCGTGATGTGTTGATCGTTTCGTCCTCAACTTCAATTCTCATAGCCCGCTGAGTCTGACAGAGCTGTTGCCTCCCGTTTTTGTCTCCCCTAGTCCTCCTAGTTGTCGTCACTTTTCCTCGTCCAGATTGGCTCTCTGCTAAAATTTGCTGTCTTGGACCAGAGACTCTAGATATTGACCACAGCTTGTGGTTGTAGTAGCTACTACGGCCTCTGGCCTCTTCCATACCATGGCCAACAAATCCAGCCCCGACCCTCTGTCAGAAAATGGTGGCATATTCCGACACGCTAGGCTCAGTTCCAACCCCCGTTCGAAAGGATGCAGCCCATATCACTGTCCTGAGGACGGTTCCCAGGCCGAAGACTCTCCCTCAAGTGCGGAGTCCCAACCGTCATTGCTCAGCCAGCTGAGAACCTCGCAGCCGAAAGTCAAGCACGTCATCCAAGATGATGGGAACGAACAGTATCATGTTTCTCAGACACGCGGCCACCGGAGTAACCCTTCATATCATCCTGAAGAAGACACAGAACTTGTTGGGGAGATTGATACGTTCGTCTTCGCACCACAGCCCAAGTACAAGCCGAATCAGTTTTCTGGCCACCAGCAGCGTCGATCTATCAATTTCAGTGCCCTCAGTGGGCGGCAAGATGCAGTGCCTCAAGAGGACTGGGCAGATGCCGGCAACGTACGACCTACCCAGCCCCAGGATCAGCCAGCTTTGATAGACGATAATAGTCACCACTACAACGACGTCGAAACCCATGCAAACAATATGCCAGCTGTTATCTCTCGAAGTGATCCAGGACGAAGGGGGACTCCTTTTCAACGCTTGAGGGCTGCAGAAGTCAACCCGGAGCAATCGAGTAGCCACGGTCAGCTACCGGGCCGAGTCCTCTCAGATCAGATTACTACCAGCTCTGAGAGAGATTCAGCTGGAATATCTGTCTCGAGACGCCCCTCTGTCCAGGCCGAGCAGAAAATAAATGGGTCTGCCATCGATGACCGCAGCATTCGACCCTTTGCTGATGCCGATGCCATTCTTCCCTGCGATCAACGGGAGATTCTGCAGCCTGCACTTGAAAAAATGGCTACTGATAGGGGTTTTTCTTCACAGCGGCACAGCTCTCGGGGAGAAAATGAAGGCAAACAACAGCAATGTGTAGTTTCAGATCGAGACTTGGAACCACGCCTCTCCGAAACTAGCAAACCCGTCGATGATGATCGTGTGATACCTCGTCAGATAGCCCGAGTTCAAAGACAGCATCACGAGACAGTTGAGATTCGGTCGTCTACTCCAGTTGGCGACTTAGAAATGCCACAGAAACAAACTCCTGGTTCTGCTCGCAAGTCGAATCGACAGCACTCTTCGCCTAGAGAGCAGTCAATTCGACGTATCAGGCGCGACCAAGATGCCAGAGACGTTCCGCAACGTACGAAATCGCGTCTCTCAAATACTTCTCGGCGTCGCAAGCACTCCCACCGCCAATCACAACACGGCAAACCGAGTCAGGAAAAGGCCAACTCAGGCTTGGAGAAGCAGCAGGTTACGGCAGAGAGCCACTATGAAGCACTCGAAAGTATGTCGGCTCACTACAACAAAGTTCTCAGCTACTCAAAAGAAGTTGAGCACAAGATGAATAGTCGTCTCCTGGGCCAGAAGCAGCAGATCGAAGAACTGGAGACTCGTTTACAGCAGTATCAAGCACGTTATCAGAAAGACTGCGACCGCCGGGTGCAGTCGAACTCAGAGCTTTCTCTTTTACAACATCAGAAGGACGAGCTCTCCCAGAATCTAGCTCAACAAGGCGGACGACTGCATGAACTAGAACGGAAAGTGGCCGATCTGCAAGCTGAGAGAGAAACGCAAGACAAAGAAGCGACTAGATTGCACCAAGAGCTGGAGGTCACACATTCCAAGCTCGACAAGTTTCAAGAGAAAAGCCGCTCGTACAAGGATCACCTCAATAAGGCTGTTGCAGAACACCAACAACTCTGGCAAAATTCGAGAGATATCACCGAAAACACCATCAATAGCATGAGAAAGGAGCATCAAGAGGCGGAAGAGAAGTTCAAGTTGGCCATGGCAGAGAAACAGGCTGCCCAGGATAAGTTGAATCTCATTTCCAAACACAAGCAGGTATTTCTCCAGCAGGAAGTGGCAGCGGGTAAGCAGATTCGATTCGAAGATTAAGGTCGCTGAACTGACATTGAGAAGCGGCATCAAAGATCAGAGACTTGACGTCAGCCCTGGACAATCTTGAGAAAGATTTCGAATTTGAGGCACAGAGAGCCAAGAAGTTGGAAGAAAAGCTCCTCGACGTGGGTGCCTTGAATGGTCTGCTGCGCCAGATCGATGAGAATGTGGCTGGAGTCTGCTCGGAGGTGGACAATATGCAAGCGCGCTCTCTCGAAGCGCCCGCTGTGCCGTCCGAGGTCATGAGAAGGTACTTTCCAATTGCCCTCGTGTCGTCCGTTTGTAACTGACTTTTGCAGGTTGGACGAAATTGCGGGCCACGTGCAATTTTTCCCTCAAGTCAACGTAGAAGATGAGCTTCAGCGAGCTCTGGAGACCTTTCAAAAGGAAATGATGCCACAGTAGGTGCCCGCTGATGTATTCTGACTTCTCAGCTGACATATGTCCAGACTTTTGGAGGAGTTGAAATCCACTATGACTGGTCAGTCCATCGAAGAAAAACTGCAAAGTCTACAGGAGACGCTCCAGAAACAGTCGTTATCGATGGAGACGGAGCGCGAACATCGTCAGGAACAGTTGATGCTACAACTTTCGGAGAGAAAGGACGAGAACAGCAAACTTGCACAGGATCTTCTGGCCAAGGATGCTGAAATCGCAGATATGTCCAACTGTGTTTCTGAACTTAGTCAAAAACTACGAGAGGCGAAAGACTCTGCAGAGTTGGCATCAAAGAGGGCAACAATCATGGAAGAAAGGCTCCGAGAGTTACAGCAAAGCCTCTCAAGCAAGGATTGTCAGGTCGCAGAGACGCAGACTGAGCTTCAGCTCCAGCGACAAGGGCACGAGACCAAGATCCGAGAGCTTCAGGAGAAATTACGGATTGCCGAGGAAAGTGGCCATCTGCAACGACAGCTAGCCGAAGAGACGGAGAAGAATCTCGCAAAAAGGACCGAGGAAGATAACGAAACCCAAACACTGCTGAAGAGCTCGGAAGAATCTCTGCACCAGGCTCAGCAACAGTTGGCAATGGCCGAGACGGAGGTTGAACGCCTCAAGGCCTTGGACAGTGTTACCAGAGCATCGAAACTCGAAAAGGAGTTGGAGAATGCTCATCAAAGAGTCACCAATCTCACACTCAAGCTTCGCGATACGCAGGTCTCGGCTGCTAACAACGGCCAGCTTGATCAGGTAGCCGAACAGCTTGCCCAGCTCCAAATACTGAAGGAAGAAGTCAAGCAGCTCAGGTCAAATGGCAAGGCATACGCGGCGGTCAGTAAGGACTTCGCAAAAACACTCGACAGACAAGATGCCACGGGAAACGACGATATTCTGATCCCTGATAGTCTTGTGCTGCCGGAACCAATGCTTCCTGTGTTGCTGCAGCAAGATGTTTATGATCCTCTGAACGACTTTCAGCCGAGCTCCTCTGACATGCCGCTGATCCGAGCCAGCAAGCGAACGGTTTTTCGCAGTCCTGTTGAAGAGTCGGAAGATGAGATGCCTGCGCCATCAGTCGAGCAGGAGAAGTCGCAGCGAATGGAGGTAGCCGTTCAGGGATCCAAAATAAGATCGATCCTCCGCCCCCAGAGAATTCCGGTTGCAAAAGCATCGAAAGGAAGTAACAATACCATGGTCGCGCGCCATGCTGGACACTCTTCGTACAACCGACCCGTGCAAAGTGTCCCCAAGTCCAGTCAGGAGGCCATCTTGGGTGTCAAGAACAGCCTTGTGGGCAACCGCGAGGCAAACCTCGGCGATTTGACCAACCCTAACGAATGGGAAAGACTTGACGGACCAGCGAGCTTGTCGGAGCAGCGCGGAACCAAAAGGTCTAGCAACGCCCAGCAATGGTCTCGAGGCTCGAAACGGTCCAAACCATGCTTCACCGAGAATGAAGACAATCGGGAGACTTCACAGGCCGCGGGAAGCAACAATGAGGACTGTCTCCGGGCTGAACCACCGGAGCGCAACCAAAGAGACGGCAATAGGGTGGCCCCAGTAACCGTGGAAGATGATCAAGTTTCCCACCATTTCTTCCCAAGCGCTTCCAAGCCGAATGAGGGCACACGTTAAGGGAGAGTCCGCAGCTTTAGTATCATCCATCGAGGTTGGTTTTCTTGGACGTGGACTGAATATTTATGTGGGTGGAATCATGCAGAGAAATATTGCATTCACGCAAGGTTTGTTCTCTTTTGATAGAATATACAACTAGGTCGCGGCCATCGAAGCCTTCGCTTTCTTTCCGCCTCTGGGGCACAGTCCAACGTGCCAATGCCTTGTCCCTGACGATAGGTCTGAGGGACTGCAGGTTGATGATGTACAGTTCATCCATGTGGTCTTCGAGCCCCAATCGTATGCCGCCGTGAACGCCGTTTATGGTGATATCAGTGTTGTTACATATGGTGTTGGTATTTCGAGAGTGCGCGGGCTCATTTTCCCTTCTTCTTCTGCTCCAAGAAAAGCACCTTTCGCCGAACTGTGAATACGTTAGCCCTGTTATCCCCATCTCCATTTCATGGTACGGATCGATTGGCGCTCGCCTTGGAGACGAGCACCACGTGTGTCGAACCGAGGGGAAAGGGGTCGGCATACTGATTGGGTCGTATTTCAGCAAGCTCATGGGTGTTGCTGTTCGGAGACGCTTGACAGTGTAGAAGTAACCAGTCGCGGCCATGGACAAGAGCCGGACGATCATGACACGGGACTTCGCTGTTGGACACAATCAATTAGCTTGGTGATTTGGAGGAAAGCAGGCAATGCGCTTGAATGAAGCTCAGATGGGTTGCATACCTTTCTTGGCCATCTTGAAGGGGAGTTTGCGCCGCACGCGTTGGATAGCTTGAGGCTTGGACACGGGTGGACGGGATAGCTTCGCAGTATGGAGACTGGAATTTTGCGGGTGGTGAGAGACTGTCGGCGGAAAAAGGGCCGTTCACCGAGATCTGTGTGTCGGTGGGATTTCGGTGTAGTGGACGTGTACTCCACCATCGCTCGATCTTACCAGATGGTGCCAGCTGGCAAGGAGACACCCATTCGATCGCCTGTCAGTGGATAAACTAGTCTCACTCACTTCTCCTTGAATATCTATCAATAGGAACTTTGCGACGTGATGTTAGTCAAGTGATACATCTTGGAAAGAAGCCAAGCAAAGAGGGGCTAAATGAACCATGGCCGATTGAGGGACTGTGGCACCTTGCAACGTGAGTATCCGTAGCATGGAACTGCAGCTCGGCTTATGCCAGCCTCCAGCGGTCAAGCTGCGCGGTCAGAAGTCTATGAGATCGTAATCCGAGCAACTGAGATGTTGGTTGGTGGATCTCGTTCAGGGTCCTTTCTCGGTCAATAGCTCTATCCCCGTTGGGGGCCCAGCAACGTTTTTAGAGCTTGCAGGGACCTGGGCACGAAGCGTCACCGCCAACGATGCCTTTTCCCATGTTCGGACGGTGATGGTCTACGACATTCTGGGTTTGGGCTGCTGGAGCTTAGGTGGGATTCTTCTTTTTCTTTGCGCGCCGTTCCCTGCACGCGGCCCTTTTTCGAGCCCGCAGTTTAATCGCGAATATCTAGCCACCCCCGACTCCCCCGAGTGGTGGTTCGCCCGCCGACGCTGGGCTTTGAAGGGGTGTGGGCAAAGTGGTTATCTCGCAGCTCGGGTCGCGTTTCTCAACAGATGGGCAGGGCCGTGGCCGTGGCCGGAGACAGCAGCAGTAGCAGCGGCAGGATGGTGAGGAGGAAGGTGGGCAGGGCGTAATAATTGGCGTGAGCAGGCAGGATAGGTAGACAAATAAAGAGGAAAGGACATCCCATTCTGTTCCTGTCCTGCCTGCTTTCATGGAGAGTGGTGGTTCAGGAAGGCGTGCACTTTCCCGCGTCGTGGTTCTGAGACTTTCGTTTCGCCGTCAATCGACTGCTTTCCTTTTTTCGCATTCTCAGCTAAACGGGATACGTACTTGACGATCCGGAACCGCCTCCATACCGCCGAGAGCAGACGGCGTTTCGTCGTGGAATTCTCTTTCTTCGACACTTTTCGAGTCTCGGATTTCCAGTAACGGAGAATACCAACCGACTCACCGAATACACCGTACACCGAAGCAGCGATTCTCTCTACGAAACACTACATTTGATACGCTAGCCGATCAGCACAATACGTTCGACGATGGCGGCGAACAGAGTGGCTTGCACTGCGGCCAGGTCGCTGGGAGCACCGAAGAGTCAGGCTGCCGCGAGCCAAGTGCGATTGATGAGCAGCGTAGGCAGATCAAATGGTACGTCGCAATGCTGGGCGAATTTTGCTCCAAACTGCTTCAACAAATTCTGTTTGCTTCACATGGGTGTTTGTTCCCAGCCCTGTTCACAAACCAAAAACTATTCCTGTATCGTGGAAAGTGGAAGGTTGGTGCAGCTCGAAGCTATCCCAAGCTCGCTTGTCCAGCACCGCTCAAACGGGACAGCTCCCGTCCAAGCTACCTGACGATTTCCTCCCCCACCTGTTTTCACTCGCCAGCTTACACCGTACGCCACGTCTCTTTATTCGCCATCCTTCACCGAACAAACGGACAAGGCACTTGATCATTTTCCTCTCAAGTTCGATCAAGCGCGCTTTACTCCCACGTGGACCCCCACACTTTCCATTCTCCCGCGGCATAGGCAATTGGAGTTTTTTCATCAAGGCGTCGAGGACTCGGAAATACCCTGGTGGGAGAATCCGTAGAAGCTCTAGCCTCTGGGCGCGCTGACCGGCTTCCCCCTTGTCCTGCCGTCACCGGTTTCGGACACAGGCCTTTGAGGCAAACCCGCGCCAAACACGACCGGGTCTGATCCACGTCTTCGTCTACGACTCACCAGCAAGTGCTCGGCTGGCGTCCCGCACTGGAGGGGGCAAACACAGCCCGTCATGGAAGCCATCCCGCAGCAGCACAGAAACGATGCCACGCAGGGTCATGTCTCGTGCCCCCGAGGTCACAGTACCAGCCTAAGTAGGCTGGCGACTGTCAGAGTTATTGAATAAGAGCTTCTGCATCGGACGATGACAGGAAGAAGATGCGCTGATTTCCTGTCAACTTTGCCGTCTTTTTTTTCCCTCTGTCCGTTTAATCCATCAATTAAACATTGCGCACTGTTGTAACGGCCCCCGCGTCCGAGACTTGGTTGCTTGTCGATTGCCCTTCGTTGACGAAGAGCTAAATAAATAGCACTTGAGGTGGCTGCGTACGTTTTCAGGGTTTTCTTGAGACTCATTCTTCTTACCTTTTCTCTAAGCATTTCCAACTCCTTTTCTTCTTTGCTCGGCTCTTCCCCGTGTTATCGATCCGAGTCCAGGTGTTTTTCTACCTTGATCTCCACTGTTGCGCGGCAGAAGCCCTTTTACTAACTTTTATATGACTCTTGCACAGATACCCCGCGGTCCCCTAAGATCTTCCTCTCCAATACCCCGCCATCTCAAAGGCAACTTTTCTTCAGCAGCAGCAACAGCCGTTCGTCACCCCACCATCGAACCATGTCTACCACACCGAGCCGTCGGCTGAATGTGCACAACATCAACCAGCATGTTGTTGCTGCCGAGTACGCCGTTCGCGGCGAGTTGGCCGTGAAGTCGGAGGAATACCGAGCGAAGCTGTCCAAGGGCGACAAGGACCTCCCCTTTGACGCCGTTATCTCGGCCAACATCGGCAACCCCCAGCAGCTCGACCAGAAGCCCATCACCTTCTTCCGCCAGGTTGTCAGTCTTCTCGAGAACCCCCTGCTTCTCGAGCACGAGGATGTTTTGCAGAACCAGCTCGGATACAAGAGCGATGCCATCGCTCGCGCCAAGTTCCTCTTGAGCAAGGTCGGCTCTGTTGGCGCCTACAGTGCCAGTGCTGGTGTTCCCGCTATTAAGGAGAGCATTGCAAAGTTTATTGAGCGTATGTCCTTATCTGCCTTCACCTTGGGCCGAGTGTGAAAACTGACAAAGATCTCTGCAGGCCGCGACGGATTCCCCGCCGATCCCGCCCACATTTACCTCTCTGGCGGTGCTTCTTCCGGAGTCAACACCCTTCTTCACATCATCGCCCAGAACGCTCAAAGCGGTGTTCTTGTGCCCATTCCTCAATACCCTCTCTACACCGCAACGCTATCAGTTCTCAACGCCACCTGCGTTCCCTACTACCTCGACGAGGCCGCTGGCTGGGGTACCGACCTGAACACCATCAAGGCTGCCTACGAGAAGGCCACCTCCGAAGGCACCGATGTCCGCGCTATTGTCATTATCAACCCCGGCAACCCAACCGGTGCCTCCCTGTCCGAGGATGACATTCGCGCCGTCTACGACTACGCTGCGGAGAAGCAGCTTGTGGTGATGGCTGACGAAGTCTACCAGACCAACGTCTTCGTTGGCAAGTTCCACTCCTTCAAGAGCGTTCTGCGCAAGCTGCAGAAGGAGACCCCTGGCAAGTACGACGGTGTCGAACTCGCTTCCCTGCACTCCATCTCCAAGGGTATGGTTGGGGAGTGCGGTCACCGCGGCGGCTACTTCGAGCTCGTCAACTTCGACCCCGAGGTCGAGGCCAACATTTACAAGTTCGTCTCCATCACCCTCTGCGCTCCCGTCATCGGCCAGTGCATCGTCGAGCTCATGGTCAACCCCCCCAAGGAGGGCGAGCCGAGCTACGAGCTGTACAAGAAGGAGTACGACGGCATCTTCAACGGCCTCAAGGAGCGCGCCACCGCCCTCCACAAGGCCTTTGACCAGATGGAGGGCGTCGAGTGCGGCGCGCCCCAGGGCTCCATGTACCTGTTCCCCACCATCAAGCTTCCCGCAAAGGCCACCGAGGCTGCCCAGAAGGAGGGCCGCACCGCCGACGAGTTCTACTGCATGCGCATGCTCGAGGCCACCGGCGTCTGCGTCGTTCCCGGCAGCGGGTTCGGTCAGAAGGAGGGCACCCTGCACTTCCGCACTACTTTCCTTGCCCCCGGCACCGACTGGGTCGGCCGCATCATCAACTTCCACAAGGACTTCATTGAGAAGTACCGGTAAGCGAGTTTGGTGCAGCAGCTAGTCGATTTTTCTTGTGCGGGGACCTTGAAGGTGCGAGGTGGCCTGTCGCGTTGGATGATAGCGCGGCTGAGAATACCTAGGTATGAAACGAACGAATTTGCGTAGTCTTTTTCCGGAACCACGTATCCAGGGCGGATAAAAGCAGATATCGATGAGCACGTACGAGGCGTAGAGTAGATATCTCGTTTGTTTCAGTAAGATCTCTGGGATTTGGCAGGTGTTGATGACACTTTATGAGCATAGCTTGCGAGAATAGAAAGATTCCGCTCCCATCAATTCTGCATCCAGACCTTTCACAGTCATCTCATGTGGGCCTCGGTCAAGCCAAGATTTCTCAAATTGGCTTGTCTAATCCGCAGGTATCATACAGAGAGTTATTGTAGTAGCACACATTTGCTTGCCCCAATCCCCGGTTTCTATTCGCCGCCTGCCGTTTCTAGCTCGCGCCTTTCAAAGTCCCAAGCCTGACTAAGGGACACACGATTGTAAAAGCATTGTGGTAAAAAGCTCTCCGTCATTCTTCCAGTCGCCTCGCTCTTTGGCTGATTATGCCCGCTCGCTTCCTCTCAAACGCACAGCCTGGCCGTACTTCTGGAGCTTGGTGATAAGCTGATCGCCCTGGCGGACGACGTCCTGGTACTGCTTGTTCTTGTCGTCGGGGCGGTTGGTCTCGATGACGCCCTTGCCGCTGACGCGGTCGATTGTGCAGGGGATGCGGCCCGCTGCGATGAACTTGGCGAGGTCACTGGAGATGAAGTTAGATGTCTGATCTGACCGATGCAGCTGAAAGGGAGAGAATCATACCGGTCCAGGAAGTCAACAGTGACGCCAAAGTCGGTCGCCATTGTCTCCAGGCCAACCACACGGTAGCTCTGGAGGAGCTGCTGGTAGGCGCGCAGACGCATCTCACGGATGAACCAGTTCTTGTGCTCGTGGAGGTAGCGGTCCTGAGTGAGGAACGACTCCTCGACCTGGGCGAGAGCCTGGAAGAAGTACTTGTACTGGCCGTTGTATAGGCTGGAGACAAGCTGAGCCAAAGGCGAGAAGTCGATAGCCATCTCGGCCTCGGGCTGGTCGGTGCTTGTTCCGAGAGTCGTCAGGTTCACCGCCGTCTTGGCAGCGGCGGGCGGTGCGTCGTGCATGGCGTCGTCGGCACCGGGACCAGCGCTGAGAGCACCAGACAGAGCGAGGAGCTTGTCCTCTCCATCACCCAGGATGGCCTTGATCTCGGGGGCGTCGACAACCTTGCTCTTGAAGTCGACACGCTTCAGGGACACAGATCCGGCGAGAACGGAGTAGACGACGAGGGAGGAGTAGGTGCAGAGTTCGTAGCTGGTGAAGGTGGACAAGCTGTCGAGCAGGAGCGGGGCGGCCAAGTTGTATGACCGGACGGTCAAGAGGTAGATGCCCTCGTACGCCTTGAGACGGTTGCGACGATCCCAGTCACCACCGGACTCGACCAGGGTCTTTGCGCGCTCAACATGCTTCTTGACAAGAAGCTTGTCGCCGTAGAAGAGCCCCATGCGGATTATTGCGAGAACCAAGTCGATCTTGGTGCCCAGGATGCCGGTCTTCTCGAAAACGTCTTCGTATGCGGCGATCGCCCGGTCCTGTCAAAGGGGTCAGTCAGGGTTTCCTTGGTGAGTTGATAGTCCTTCCAATCGCACCTTGTCACCGACTCTGGCCCAGAACTCCGCGCGCTTGCCCCGCGCGGCCTGGATCTCCGTCTCGCCAGCCTTCTCAACGGCCTCATCCTCTTCCTTTTGGAACTCTTCCAACTCCTTGTCGTTGTCGGCCTTCAGCTCTTGGTACCTGGCCTCATCCCAGGGTAGGTTGACTGCGGTGGGGGTGGTCTTGGTGGCAATCATGCCCGCCAGACTCGACTTCCGACTCAGCGGCTTGCCGGGGGTCTGACTGCCACCCTCGCCAACTTGGTTCAGAATACCCTCAAGGGGGTGTGCGAGGTACCGGTAGAGCGGTGCCATCTTGTGCTCGGTGATGGCATCATTGAGAGCTTTCGCAGCGGATTGTTGAGATGGCCGGGATGCGTAGGCGTTTGTGAGGGCGAAGACATGCTGGGCGAGAGGAAGGAGAGGGTACTTTGCGTACTGGGGTTCTGAGCCCATCTTGGCGGTTGATTGTACGAAGGCGTCTGGAAAGGGTCGTGGTCGGTTGCTGAGGAGGGGAGAAATCAAAGAGGTTGAGGCTGCGGGATGGGTTACTGGGTGAGCAAGAGTGATGTCGTTGTATGGTGGTGTTTGGAGCTGGGAGCTCAGGAAAGCCCCCTGCAACCCGCAAGCGTCTGGCCAGAGGCTGACGTGATTGGTCTGCTGCCGGGGGTGAGCTTAGTCAAGCCAGCAAGGCTGCAGTGCGACACGTACCGGACCTGCCTGCAAGCACGAGACAGCCCGCACTGCGCCTACCTACTTGATTGAAATGCCGAATTGCGTTCAAAATATTTCCAAGATGTCAAGTTGGCTATATCCAAACATAAGCAGCATATATGAGGAGACAGCATAGTAATCATGAATATTGTTCTTTGGGTCCAGACTGAGAAAGAGCGTTCGTTTCTAACACCACACCTTCCGTACCTTTAATGAATCCATAGGTGGGTTTTACCTTCCTCAGCAGGTACCCCAGTATACTCCCCCTACCTCTTGCGACGCTTCGCAACAGCAGCTTTCTGTTCCTCTCCAACAGTTCGCATCAACTTTCTCACACCCGTACTTTCACAATCAAATTCTGGAAACAAACACAACAGCCTGCAATCCCCCCGGGAGACGAGAATATTTGCCTTTACAAACAAAGAATTCTCACGTCTGATTCGAGACAATGGCGGGCTACAACGACGACGATTCGTACGAGCGAGAGTCTCATTCATACGACGCGAAGAAACGCAAAAGATCACAATCGCCCTCGAGAAACGGCAATTCCTCGCGAAGAGGCAACAAGCGCGAGGATGGAACCGATGAACTTCCCCAACCCTACAATGCGAAGGAGCTTCAGCCCGCTAAGCGCCGAGCCGTCTCTCCCTCCGAACAGCCTCGCAAGCAGAAGCGACCGGGTGCCCGAGCTCGCATATCCGAGTCTGAAAGAGAGGCCATCCGCCAGAGAGCACTCGAAAGGGAGAAGGAGTTGGAAGCTGCGGCCCACGCTGCAGCTGAGCGTCAGCGTGGCACCAACAACGATGTTGTCACGCAGCATTACAATAGTGTACCAGAGCGCGGTAGAGACTGGAGACGAACCGACAGCAAGATCAAGGGCCTGCGCGCCTTCAACAACTGGATTAAGAGTTGCATCATTCAGAAGTTCTCGCCAGATGAAGACTACACCCCGGGCTCTCGTGAGCCGGGCGCGAAGGAGTTACTCGTGCTTGACGTCGGTTGTGGAAAGGGAGGTGACCTTGGCAAGTGGCAGCAAGCACCTCAATCAGTAGAGCTCTACGTCGGTCTCGATCCTGCGGATATCAGCATCGACCAGGCTCGAGAGCGTTACCGCCAGATGGGTAGCCGCGGAGGCGGTGGCAGGGGCGGTAGAGGAGGATACAGGCGGCCACCTCCTCGGCTTTTCGAGGCACGCTTCCAGGTCAAGGACTGCTACGGCGAGAACATTGAGGACGTTGAGATCATCAGACAAGTCGGATTCGACACCAGTCCTCTCAGCCGACGAGGATTCGACGTGGTGAGCATGATGTTTTGCATGCACTATGCCTTCGAGACGGAGCAGAAGGCTCGGACCATGCTGCGCAACGTGGCAGGCTCATTGAAGAAGGGAGGTCGCTTGATCGGTTGTATCCCCAACTCTGACGTCCTTGGTGACCACGTTCGCAAGTTCAACGAGCAACAGGAAGAGAAAAAGAAGAAGGCCGCAGAGGAACCGCCGCAAGAAGCAGAGGAAGGCGAATTGGAAGATGGCGAAGCAGACCAGTCGGCAGAGTGGGGCAATTCCATTTATCGAGTCCGATTCCCGGGCAAGACACCTGCAGATGGCGTCTTCCGCCCGGCATTCGGTTGGAAGTACAACTTCTTCCTCGATGAAGCTGTCGAAGAGGTCCCCGAGTATGTTGTGCCGTGGGAAGTCCTCAGAGCTCTTGCTGAAGACTACAACCTCGAGTTGCAGTACCACAAGACCTTTATGGAGATTTGGGACGCGGAAAAGGACGATGAGACTTTGGGCCCTTTGAGTGAGAGAATGGGGGTTCGGGAACGTGGCGGTGGACGTCTCCTTGTTTCACCAGAGGAGTTGGAGGCGGCGAGCTTCTACACTGCTTTCTGCTTCTACAAGGTTTAAATAGGGGGAATTGGCATGAGGACATGAGTGTCGTCTAGTAGGGATTCTTAGGATATATCTAGAATCTGGTTCAAAGTACGAACTTCGAGCTCGACATGGTCGCGAATAGGGCCAATTGTGTTGCTCTGACTAAGGCTCATTGTGATACTGTACACTGGCCCCTCTTTGCATGCCATTCATCCCGATCCACAGATCCCTTCCCAGCTTGATCAGTCCACCGTATCGGTATATTCGCGGCTGAATCGTCTACGTTACGACGAAATTGTCAAACATCGCCATGAGCAACGCTGTCCCTGCCTATCCACTCATGTGGAAGACGGAAATCTGAGAGGCTACGATAGTATAAAATGGTAGTCGTCAAATAGATGGTGAAGTTTCTTCTTTCAGAAACCATGCGCAAGCACGGCTATACATATCTGAGAAATACCTAGCTAAGATACCTTGCGTTCGCGATTGCACAATTAGGCTTTCCTTCAGCCACGGCAGACATCTTCGCGGCCTCCAAAGGGCGCCACCTGGCTGGCTAATTCATCGCCCACACCTCCTACATACCGCCAAGCTAGGCTTTCGGATTCTTCGAAATAGTGAACTCCACCGCGTCTTAGACCTCCTTGTGCTTCCACGATACTTACGGACTAGAGGACACGTTGACTTACCGATGTCGTTGTCGATGCACAAAGCACATTTACGATTGCCGCTGTAGCGTCATCCTGAAAGCACTTGAAAAGGATCTTTCCTCTACGAAAACGTTTTCACACTGGGCTGTTTCCGTGATATTGTGGTGATTATAAGAGTCATTGTTGTCACTTCACCTCGGCAGACAGAAAAGGTAAATGCATCAATTTATTGCTACAGGATGTTACCCCCGACACGTTGTGTCCTTTCCTCCTCTCACTTGCTCACCGGCCTCTCGCCATGCTGCTCATATGCATTGCGGATAGTCTTACCCTCGTCGCTTCTTTGGCTGTATCATCGCGCGTGGGCGATGGCATTCTCTCTCTCGCTGCGGTGGCGGCGAGCGACTGCGGTCGTTGCGGGGCTGCGAGTCTTGAGAATCTCTTTCTCTTTCTCTCATGTTTGGTAACAGCTCTTTCCCTTGGTTGCTTGTCTCTGCTTGGGCTATAGCCTCGCTGCTGCCCCCGCCCCCGTAGGGGGTCTGGTTGTTGCCTCCGCCCTCGTAGGGTGCCTGGTTGTTCTCGGCCTCGTAGGGGTTGTCGACGTCATCAAAGCCGGGCTCGGGGAGGGGCTCGATATACTCGCGTCGAATGCGCCATTGTCGTCGTTGTGGCTCGTTGGGGGCCTGGTTGTTCTGAGGAGGGGTCTGATTGTTACCTCTGCCCTCGTAGGGGGTCTGGTTGTTGCTTCCTTCCGCATGGTCTCCATGACTGAACTGGTTGTTGCCTTCGCCCTCGTAGAGGGTCTGACTGTTGCCTTGGTAAGGGGCTTGGTTGTCCTGAACAGGGACTTCGATGATGTTCTCTGCCCCGTATGGATTGTTTGGGCTGAAGTCGGACTCGACATATTGGTTTTTGTCCTTGGGTCTTCTAGGTGCTCCCGACTGGTTGTTACCTCCGCCCTCGTAGGGGGCCTGGTTATTGCTGTTTGTCCCGTAGGGGTCGTTTGGGTCTAAGTCAAGCTCGACATAGTCGTTATTGTACTCGGGACAACTGTCGCGTCGATTGAATAGTCGTGACTCGTTGGTCATGTTGGCACAAAAGCGCTCAATGATCTCGGCACTTTGTCGGTTTTGCGTAGCAATGGCCAGGCTCATCTCTGTCAGATGGCTGACGTTGGTCGCTTGAGAGTTATGCTGTGGTGGCATTGGCCTCGGCATATGCCTCGGCATTCGCCAGTTTCCTGGTGGTCTGTCGCCCATTTTGTGAATTTTGGGTTTTTGACTGGAGAAATTGAATGGAAAGAATGGTAGGTAAGAAGAAGAGAAAAATCACAACAAGATATCTCATCGAGACGACCTGGGAGGCAAGTGCTAAATGTGGGTCCGATAGGAAGACGATACTTTACCTTTAACTCCAGCTCTTTCCCTACTATTCATCCTTCTTTACTTTCCAAAGAGTATTCTCTAGTGAATATATATAAAATAGTAGTGACAGTAGTGACAGTAGTGACAGGAGTGACAGGAGTGACAGGAGTAACAGCAGTAATAGCAATAACAGTAGTGATAGTAGTAATAGTAGTAATAGCAGTAACAGTAGTAATAGTAATAATAGTAGTAATAGCAGTAATAGTAGTAATAATAGTAATAGCAGTAATAATAGTAATAGTAGTAATAGTAGTAATAGTAGTAATAGTAGTAATAGTAGTAATAGTAGTGATAGTAGAGGTATAGACTAAGAGGATAAAAATATTTTTTTTATTAGCCAGTATTTTATTAACTAAGAGGAAATAAAACACAGAATTTCCTATTATAGTAGCCCTCCGAGACTTAAGAAGCCGTAACATCGGGGCGCTACTTATATATAGAAGGCTTCTCTTGAGAAAGCGAGAAGTAGATAATAATTGTCCCTCTACGAGACTACTACCTCCACAGACTCAATAGGCCACTTTGGTCCATGGCTCTGATGATTCATTTACATCTGTCCCTTTCTAGAAGGACCCCATCCAGTCCTTCCACTTACACGACTTTGGCTGTCTTCCTTTCCTCATCACAACATCTACACGAAACTTTTGATAGCTAGCAATCTGAAGGAAAGTCATATAATCGTTAACGACCTTATTATTTTTTTAAATTGCCTAGTAAATATGGACAGAAGACAAACATTCCAAGAAGCGGCCGCGAATTGGAAGACGGTAGACGCCAAGACCATGACGCAGCAATACGTCCAACCAGACGAGCAGTCCCAAAGGCTAGAGACCCATATGAGGAGTTAGCATCACGTCCATCTCGAGTCGGCCTACTGTAATTATGTATCTAATAGATATCCCCATCCCTGGCGCGACTGCCGAGAACGAAGCCAATACATATTGCGACGCTCTACGAGGCGCTCCAGTGTTTGGCCGCCTGAAAACCATTTACACCAGAACTCTTGGAATAAGGATGGCGAAGCCTGAACTGCTAGATCTTGGGCTTTTGGCGTATGGAAGCACTGCCGCTAAGGTTGAAATGAGAGTCTTGACAGCTTCAGTCGTCGAGGCACACCTGTCGTTTCACACAGGCTATATGGTGTTCAACTTCTTCCCGAGTAGGCGAAAACATTCCTTAGTCACATCCGGAGCGTCACGGCCTAGTTTTTCAATATATCGCGTCATTCATGTGAGTATCGCGATGTATTGTGGTAAGGACACAGTTAGGTGACAATCTGAGGGCCTTTGTTTGCACCATTAAACCAACATAGGAAAGATGAGAAGAAACGAACGAGTGAATAGGGATCTTTGACCAAAGAAAGCAGACACCCTACCATCAAAATGAGCCCGCTTCCCAGGGTACGCATGCCATGCTGGCATCGTACTGCTAGGGAGTTACTCAACATTGAATTGACGGAAAGCAACACGCCTTGAGGACTAAAAACAGAACACCGACGCACATATCATTGTGACAGCCTGTCGTTCACCGGCCCTGCATGTATATCCATAGTCTCCTTCGTTCTCGATAGATTCCCTCCGAGCCAGGGGTAATGTAAGCCGTAAATAAAGCGGGCATTGTTCTTGGTGTATCGCCGCCTCCGCGACCCCTGGGAACATGAGCGTCCTTCTCCGTTGGAGGTTCTCGATGAATGCCGTGACTTGCTGATGTTGTGTGTCGTTGCCAATGAAGCGCGTCTTGGCAGGGGTCCACTGTCCGTTGACAGCCAGGTCGATCTCTTTCGCGATGCTCGTTTTTACCAACTCCGCTATGCCCCTTGGTGCGCCTCTCTTGTGAATGGTGTAGGCATCGGCATACGTTTGTAATGCCGTAATCAGTTCGCCAAGTTTCGACCAGTTTAGAAACTTGCCGTCGCGGCCGTCGACACTGACGGCAATCACGTAGATGCCTGCCTCATTCGAGTCCTCGTCGTAGTCGTGAGGCCGGTTCGGTCCGAAATCCATTGCCACAGTTCCTTTGATAATGGACCGCAAGAGATCGCGCGGTATGATGTGCAACACCTCCGTCGTTTCCCAGTCTCTGACGTGGTCGAGCCGAAGCTGCGCTATCGTACAGTCAGGTTGCTTGGGCATGCCCGCCGCAATGAGCTCGTTGGCGATATCGGGAAAGCACAGTGTCAGCTCGTAGAGCGAATCGCCGCGGTCTAGTACCTTCAACATGTCTACTCTGACACCGTCCATCAGGGGGGTCTTTGAAGAGGGGCTGTAATTTGCCATTGTGCAGAATTGTGATTTGTGGGTGTGGAAGACGCTCAGAAGGAACGTTGACGGTGTATGATGGCGAAAAGCTTTGCCCGGTGTTGGGCAGGTTAACATGGGAAGGAAGAAGGTGCGTTTCGGCAAGGGGTCCCCCTTCCCGGGTAGGCAGTCACGCATATCACTTGTTTTTGCAAAAAGAGAAGGAGAAGATGGGTCCACACACTTGCCGTGATCCTGTATTGCTACATCTATTGTCTTATTTCAATGGCCACGTTGGGCCATTGTTAGGCCGTTGCCCCGTCTTCGTGTCTATCTGTCTACGCCCCTGTCAAACGTCCACCGCCTAGCCGACAGACAGAGTGTCGATTGTGAGATTCATGCGCTCGAGCAACGGTTTGGTTGTTGGGAGATTGAAGGCCCTCGGCATGCAGAGACTGGTCTGTCCATTGGACCTCACGAGGCAATTCCCAATAAGACAAAACAGCCCGCCTTCAGCCTGACGCGTAGCGTCGAAGAAGAACAATCCTTGAGGCTCCCCTGGGACCAGAGAAATGGAGTGGCTCGACCAAGCTAGGCACATGTCTGGATCGTTGTCGAGCTCGCCCAGGTCGTTGAGCAGGTCGTTGACCAGGACCAAGCGGTGTACCCAGGCACGAAAGAAGTGCCTGTCGATGAAAACCACGTCACGTGGCCTCAATTCCTCATCTGCAAGTCCGCTTGATGACCCGAGCCGGGCGTTCACCCCACGGAGCATCTCGTTGCTCCGCAGAGCCACCAGCTGTACTGCGCGCTCAGAGATGCTTATTCTCTTGTCTCTGGACATCCAGACAGGTGCTGGCTCCTTCTCCATGGCCGTCTTGGCCGCGCGGTACAAGCCGACCGCAGCCCAAAAGGCCCCCCGCGGAAAGAGTGTCTGGAACGTGTGATCCACTTCGTCTCGTAGCCCAGCTATTTCTTCCTCGATGGGCTCGCCGCGTAGCACTTCATCTTTGTGCCTTTCCAAGTCATAAGAAAACAAAGCATCGCCTTCGTGGAACGCCTGATTGATGGCGGCCATTTCGCACATTACCAATCGCACGTTGGCGGGCACAAGTCCGGTGATGGAAGACAAGAAGTGGGCTGCCGAGAGATGCCATCCGGTCAACTGTATCAGACCGACAGTGGCAGTGCTGGCGTCGGCATCTACTCTGTAATTGACGGGACTGTCAACCGTCTTGTGCAGGTACCCCAATATCAGGAGTCTCTTGATTGCCGGGTTCCAGATTCGGCCATTGGAAGCGAAGGCGCGTTGCGCCCGTTGCAAGGTCATTCCTTCCGTTGAGAGTGCGACTAAGAGAAAGGAGGCCAGGTGTTCCTCCTCGAATCTCCGGCGTGGCTTCTGGTTTAGAATCGCCCGTGGCGAAAGCAAGGCATGGACGGTGACGTTCCTTGCATCGTGTGCAAACGCGCATGCCGCCTGGGCCTTGTGTACGCTGCCCGGTGGTGATTTCCGGTGCAGAACAGACTGCAGATACTGCTCGTCCCAGATGATTGTGTTTTCAGCATCCTGTAAGATGATGTGTCGCATGCCGAGTGATGGCTCAAAGCCCTTGGCCATTCGCTGTCGTGTGACCCGAATCGAGTCCGGCGACATCATGAAGCCTCGGACGTGGGAATGAATTCTCGCATCAATGGCGCGCTTCATGTCGTTGACTTTTCCTTCGTCGGACCCGAACAATACAACTTCGCTCTGGTAGTCCGCTGCGCTACGGAGCTGCAGCATGTGGTCTGCAATCACCTTCGTTGTAATCTGCCTCGTCGACTCGTCCGTCCATTCCTCCCCCTCGTACGATTCCCATTTGATCGTTTCCAGGCTGAACTTGCGAGTCGCATACACAAGCTGGAGCGTGGTGATGGCCGAGCCGTTGTATTCGTTGAATAGTCGCATTGCACGTTTGAGCTCATCGCTGAAAGCTACAGATGCCAGCCACACAATCCGTAACATGCCTTTAGTCGGAAGCACCGATGCAAACCTCAACATGGCAACAGTAAACTCCATGCCCCAGTCCTCGTCCAAGTCGAAGATGACAAGCTGACATGCCGCCTCGTCTGGCACGACTTTTCCAACCATTTCCGTCGGATCCGCCACTATCTCAATCTTTGGATCGTTGTCCGCGTCGTTGCGCTGCCGTGCGTGCCACTGCTGAATTCGGGCCATTTCCGACACTGTCGAGGTACTGTAAAGAGCCCGGGTCGTCTTGTTGGCCGATGTTGCCGCAATTCGTCCAAGGTCGTTGACCAGTCTGGTGCTCTTGCCCGATGCGGTGGGCGCTTCAATGTAGGCAAATGCGACAGACTCGGCCGAGTCGTACCATTTCCGCATCTGCTCGTTCACGTCTTGCCACGAGCGGCAGGTCGCAGGAGGGTTGTGGTGATTGGACCCCATGTTGCTGTGTTGTTGATTTTGCATTGGTAGTTGCAAAAAGGAAGTTGCCGCCGAGTCGACGTAACGGCCAGGCTCCTTGGAATCTGGGAGCAGTGTAGATGTGACGGTGGGTCATCGGTCACACTACCTTACCCTGACCTTGGACAGATACTTCGCTACAGATTTCTTGGGATAATCTACTGTTGCAAGAAACTTCCAAGAGGCCCAACCTCCATGGATGATACCAAAGTTGCAGGCTCTTTTGAGGAGATGTTTCGTGCCCCATGGTAGCTATGGAGCACGGTGAGCTCCAGCTATCCTCAACGTTCTGTGCCTTCATTCGGCTTGGAAGCGTTTGGCATACTGTCACTCTTCACTTTTCGCAAGCACACACGTTTATAAATGACTTTTTATTCATGCCCACCCCCCTCCCCTTCCAAAAAAGAAACTACCTAAACTTCCCCTCCAAAAAACCCGCCCACCCTCCTTTCATTTTATACCTAGGGTTCCTAGGTCTTCGTCGCTCCGTCAAGCCAGCTCACCCCAAGGTGCTATCAGTTGTTATAGCCGTAGTAACCTTGACCCCCCCGGGGCGGTTGTTGCTGGGGCCACGTTGGGCCACGATGTTGCTGCTGCTGCGGCTGTCCGCGAGGACCACTGTCATAGTAGTCGTCGTAGTCTCTTCCGTACTCATACGACGGCTCTTGCGTGTTGCTGCTGCCACGTAGGGCCAGGGCGTTGCTGCTGCTGCGGGCGTCCACGAGGGCCATCGTCATAGTCGTCATAGTCGTCATAGTCGTCGTAGTAGTCTTCGTACTCTCCTCCGTAATTGTACGATGGCTCTTGCTGTCGTTGCTGCTGGGGGCCATACGAGCCTGGGTCTCGATTCTGATAAGGAGGCGGAGGCCGCCGCTGCTGTTGTTGTTGCTGCTGTTGAGACCACGTAGGGCCAGGAGGCGCACCGGGACCGCCCCAGTTCGGGGGACGGCTGAGAGGCGCGTTGGGACCGCCCCGGTTCGGGGGACGGCTTGCGGTGTTGGCTGCAATCTCGCTCCGAACACTTGTAAAGTGTTTTCCCGCAACAACTGCGATCCGGGATCAGGGCTGGACACTTCATTGTCGGCAATGTCTGTGGTCCAATCACTCCTACAATACAGCAGAAAGTAGGTGTGACCTGGCGCGCCGACTTTCCAGTCAAGTCTGGCGTACTCGTCGGAGACTGGCGGCGGGTACGGCGAGCCGTCGCATCGGAAGACACTGATGCGGTCAGCGTCCTCCTACGAGCGTACAGCTCATCGACTCAATTGTTGCGGCAATGTCCTTTGGTGCCCCTGAAATATCGAGAAGGTCGTTTTCGTACGTGGCGTCTACTCGAACGCCTTTTTCAGGGTGCCAGATCATCTTGTCGAACAAGCCCTAATCATGCCTTGCCCAGAGGGTCGAATTCATGCGCTCCGCCTGCACGAGGTTCCGAAACTGGAGGGATTCGCATTGTGGCCCCCATTTCTTAATCATCCGTACAAAGGGGTCGCTCTTGAGGTTTTGCGGCGCATTGCGCCATGTCCGCGTCATGAAGGGGTTGACGTCGTTGCGCCGTGACGTAGATCGTTGTTCTCTGTCCTCGGCGGGAAGCATGCTGTTGATCATCCGGACCAGGACCACCATGCAGTGGATGCCCGAGAGTTTGTCAAAGTCGTCTTGTGATGAATCCGTTGCATCCAGAGTGGGCCATGCGTTGATGAGGAAGAGACTCTGCTCTTCTGGGTCTTGAGTTGTCTTGCGAATGTCCGTTTCAATAAGTTCCATGGTGGCGTATCTGGAATGGGGGTGATGGGGACTTTGAGATTTGACTTTCCCCAGGGAGTGTGAGGAAGGTTGTTTGACAAGCTTGCGGGAGATCGACGCGGCCCGCTGCAGCCACAGGGGACCGTACCTGCCTGGGTTCGACTGTGGGTCCACCCGCCGCATCCAACTTGTTGTCCGATTTCGCAGTTTTGTTTTCTTTCCTTTTCTTTTTCCTCTTTACAATCACTTACCTTTGTTATTTGACGGTCAAACGACACAATGTCCGACCATCACCACGCACCATGGCTCCCTGAGCCCAATGTCCCCCCTGCCCCTCGGGGCAATAGTATGACCTTTGGTTATCTCGGCGTTTCTGACAAAGATTCCAGCTACAGCATCGTTAACCCGCAACGCGGTCAGGATATCGTTGTTGACGACAGAGGATCTTCGATCCGTTTCACGGCGCCAGCGCAACGCGCGTACGAACCCCTCGGATACATCATGGGCCAAGCAGCAGCCCGCGGCAGGAAGATTGGCGGCGTCATTTGGTTCGAAGACGAAACACTCGCCGAGCACCCAATGCCAGTCTTTGACCCGCCCGCAACGATTGCCAACGAGCGGCACACCGCATCCACGAACAGCATCTCCTACGGAACAACACCCCCGACCAATCCCGGCCCGGTACGCCAGGCCGTCCAGCAACAAGACGCGCCCAGTCCACCGACACAGCAGGCCACGCCCGACTTTCCTCCGAGACAACAAGACCCGCCTAGCCTGCCGGAACCGCAAGCCGACCTCGGTTCCCCCCCGGGACAAACTGTCCAGCAAGAGGACTGGCCGAGTCTCCCGCCACGGCCATCGACAGCCGAGAGCAGCTCGAGGCAAACGCAGAAGAAGCCAGCGCCGCCCCAGCTACCCGCCCCCACGCCCAAGCCTCGCGTGGGGAAGCCGAAATTCGTCAGCTTCCCAGGGCTGTTTGGCGGGGCTGTACACGAAGAAAGTGTCGACGCGAGTGGTGGCAGTGACGCCGGTACCCACGTCAGCCAGCTCCAGAGTCCGCCAAGGACATGCGGCGAGACCAGCGCGGCAACGACCGCATCCGAGAAACAGGCCTGGCAAACAGTCGAGAAGAAGAAGGGGCCAAGCGTCATGCCGCACCCCTTCAGCGACAAGGAGTTGCTGCGCCACAACCGTTCGAGGAAATGCGCCAATTGCGCAAAGAAGGGACACATTGCATTGGACTGTGTGCTCCCTGCATCGAGAGGCTGCATCAATCTCTGTGTCTGGTGCAACAAGAGCGATCATTCATTCGATGATTGCAAAAACCCAAGCAAGCCCACGGATAAGGAACGCCTTTTCCATATTCTCGTGGTCCGACGAGCAAACAAGTGCCCGGTCGAGACAAGCCAGTCTTGGTGGGACCTCTGCTCAGAGGCCTCTAGGATCAACGATCCCAGCTCGAATGCCAAAGACATGGGCAACCAGTTCAGGTCCTTGTGTGAATCCAACGTGGGGTTCCCATGGCGTGCAGTGCTGGCTGACTGTACTTTTCTTATAGAAATCGACGAGTACGACTACGTCGAAGACACCAAGCGCAGAGCATCAACCCTCCCGGTCGTCGACGCGTACACCCACGACTCGGACCTCCTCTTGACCCGCCACGCACTTGCCTACGAGAGAGTTGGCGGCGTCCAAGCCTACGCGGCATTTGCCAAGACTCGGGACAACGTCCCCTGCACCTCGCCAATCCCAGACAAGTTCAACATCAGGTTTGCCAGCTTTGTCTGGGACAAGATGGAAGACGAGGTCGACAAGGTTTACAAGGTTGACAAGATTGACAAGGCTGACAAGGTTGAGAAGATTGAAGAAATTGACAACGTCGACAGCGAGTCCCGGCACAGCATTACTGACAGGCCAGTTTTGGTCTCCCAGCCGTTTCCCTTGCAGAATCCTTTCCGCGCTCTCCAAGTCGACAACGGCCAACGCGCCCACGACGACGACGACGAAGACGACGACGCAATATCTTACACTGAGAGTGAGAAAGCTAGAGCCGGTCGCATAGGTCGCATAGAGTGGGCGGATGAGGTAACAGATGCGAGTGCTCCATTTGTGAGCATGTGGTTGTGATAGGCTCGTCCATGGCAGGTCAACGACCTGAAGATTCTAGATAGGTGACAGGGCCCGTATGGTCTTGTGGCAATGTGCCAACGGCACCCCAATTAATAACATTTGATTTCGATTGACATGGTTTTTCTCTATAGGCATGTGACACTGTGACATCTCCATCGCTTGCTTGTTATATTGTGTGTTAATTTATAGTCCTCTGTTCTGCCGTGAGGACTGTGTTGACAAGATGGAAGCGCGTCTCTGAACTCGGACGTGAGTAATAATTATATACTAAGACTCAAATCAAACACTCTTGAATTAAACACTCTTAATTAAACACTCTCAAATTAAACACTCTTAATTAGACACTTTTAAGTAACGCTCTCGATTTTATTAAATATTTTAAATCTAGTTATATACTCTTAATTTAATTAAACACTCTAAATTAAATAATTTAAAGTTAGATATTATAATTAAATATTCTTTATTTATTTAAATACTCTTAAGTTAATTAAATACTTAAATTAAACACTCTTAAGTTAATTAAATACTTAAATTAAATACTTTTAAGTTAATTAAACACTCTTAATTAAATAGTCTTAAGCTAATTAAATACTCTCGATTTAATTAAATACTAGAATTAAATACTCTTAATTTTATTAAATACTTAAGCTAAATACTTAAATTAAATACTCTTAAATTAAATATTTAAATTTAATATTTAAATTAAATACTCTTAAGTTAATTAAATACTTAAATTAAACACTCTAAATTTAATTAAACACTCTTAAGTCAATTAAATACTTAAATTAAATACTTAAATTAAATACTCTTATTTTAATTAAATACTCAAATTAAATACTCTTAATCTGATTAAATACTTTTAAGTTAATTAAATACTTAAATTAAATACTCTTATTTTAATTAAATACTTAAATTAAATATTTAAACTAAATACTTAAATTGAATACTTAAATCAAATACTCTTAATCTAATTAAATACTCTTAAGTTAATTAAATACTTAAATTAAATATTTAAACTAAATACTTAAATTGAATACTTAAATCAAATACTCTTAATCTAATTAAATACTCTTAAGTTAATTAAATACTTAAATTAAATACTTAAATTAAATACTCTAATTAAACACTCTTAATTAAATACTCTAATTCGATAGTTTTAAGTTAATTAAATGCTCTAATTAAATACTCTTAAGTTAAATACTCAAATTAAATACTTAAATTAAATACTTAAACTAAATACTCAAATTAAACACTCTTATTCTAATTAAACACTTGAATTAAACACTCTTAAGTTAATTAAATACTTAAATTAAACACTCTTAATTTAATTAAACACTCTGGATTTAATTAAATAGCTAAATTAAATACTCTTAAGTTAATTAATTACGCAAATTAAATACTTAAACTAAACACTTAAATTAAACACTCTTAATTTAATTAAATACTTAAATTAAATATTATTAATTTAATTAAATACTAAAATTAAATACTTAAACTAAATACTCTTATTTTAATTAAGTACTCTTATCTCAATTAAATACTCTTATTTCAATTAAATACTTAAATTAAATACTCCAACTAAACACTTAAATTAAATACTTAAACTAAATACTCAAATTAAACACTCTCATTTTAATTAAATACTTAAATTAAATACTCAAACTAAATACTTAAATTAAATACTTAAACTAAATACTCTTATATTAATTAAATACTAAAACTAAACACTCTTATTTTAATTAAATACTTAAATTAAATACTTAAATCAAATACTCTTAATCTAATTAAATACTCTTAAATTAATTAGATACTCTTAAGTTAATTAAATACTTTTAATTAAATACTCTAATTAAATACTCTTAAGTTAATTAAATACTTAAACTAAACACTCTAATTGGATACTCTTAAGTTAATTAAATACTCAAATTAAACACTCTTATTTTAATTAAATACTTAAATTAAACACTCTTATTTTAATTAAATACTTAAATTAAATACTCTTATTTTAATTAAACACTCAAATTAAATACTTAAACTAAATACTTAAATTAGACACTCTTAATTCAATTAAATATTCTTAAACTAAATACTTTTATTTTAATTAAATACTTTAATTAAACACTCTTAACTAAATAGTCTAATTAAATACTCTAATTATATATTCTTAAGTTAATTAAACACTCTTTAGTTAATTAAATAGTTTTAAATAAAATAAAATATACTTAATTAAATACTCTTAATTAGGCACTCTTAGATTAAATATTTCAGTTAAACGCTCTTATTTAAATTAGATACTATAATTAAATACTCTTATTAAACACTCTCAATTTAATTAAATACTTTTAATAAGATAACTTTTATTAAATGTTTCTAAGTTAATTAAATATTTATAATTAAATACTTTTGAATTAATTAAATACTCTTAAGTTAATTAAACATTCTTAATTAAATGCTCTAATTTAATATTATTAATTTAATTAAATACTCTCGATTAAATTAAACACTCGAACTAAACACTCTTAATTCTATTAAATACTTAAATTAAATACTAAAATATAACACTTTTAAATTAAATTTTAAGGTTAATATTTGAATTAAATACTCTTAATTTGATTAAATACTCTTATATTAATTAAATACTCAAATTAAATACTTTTAACTTAATACTTAAATTAAATACTCTCGATTTAATTAAACACTTAAATTAAATACTCAAATCAAAGACTTAAATTAAATACTCAAATCAAATACTCAAATCAAATACTTAAATCAAATACTCAAATCAAACACTTAAATCAAATACTCAAATTAAATACTCAAATTAAATATTTAAACTTAATATTTAACTTAAATAATCTCGATTTAATTAGATACTTAAATTAAATACTCTTAATTTAATTAAATACTTTTTAATTAATTAACTACTCTAAGTAAATACTATTAAATTAAATACTCTTAATTAAATACTTAAATTAAATACTTATATTAAATACTCTTAAATTAGAGACTCTTAGATTAAACACTCTTAATTTAATTAAATACTTAAATTAAATACCCTAAATTTAATTAAATACTCGAATTAAATACTCTTAATTTAATTAAATACTTAAATTTATAATAGATTCGGGATATAACTAGTAACAGGATACCGATAACTTAGCGACCAGTATACGGATCGTATTATAAAAGAACTTTTTAGGAAGTAAAGCCTATATAAAGGACTTTATAAACTTTAGTTTTATAATATACTTATACTTATATTATAGCCTCGCTAGTTAAGTACTTATAACCTAATCTCTTATAATTTTAAAACTTTTACCTCTATAAAATAACTAGTATAAATAATAATAGATTATAAAAACGAATAGAACGTTAATAAAGTAATACTTAGCCGTTAGTAAAGAGCCGTTAGTACTAACGAGCTATAACTATCCGGAGTTAACTACTCGACCCTATTCTATCTAGAGGAACGAGCTTATTATAGGGCGAGTCCTACTTAAACGCTAGTATTTATAAAAGAGCTAAATAAAAAAAATAATCAGAATAGATTACCCTTACGGGCTAGTTACCCTACTAATACCCTAAGAACCCTATTTATTATAAACGGGGCGTTTATTAATAACTAATTACTAAATATACGAAGTCTAGGCGCGTATAAAAACGTAGGTAATACTAAAATAGCTAGTTTAATAAACCCTATAAGCCTAATAATAACCTACTTTTATAAAATAATAAAAATAATAATTAAAAACCGAAACTAAGAACGGCGTTAATATAAGGAGCTTATTTAATAGCTTACCGAGCGGCTAGCGACGTATTTAGGTTAACGAAAATATAAAAAGCCTCCTTTTTATAATTATAAACCGATTGGAGAAGAGTTTACGAGTACCTAAGTAGTAGACTAGATTATTACTATAGAAGTAGGTAATAATTTTTATATAAAAAGTACTATAAAATAGTATATTAAATAAGCCCTATTTAAAATATCCCTATTGTTATAAACGTAATAGTATAATTATAAAAAGAGCCTCTAGGATCCCCTCTCTTAGGGTAACTTTTTAGTGTTCGTTTACTAATAGTACGTAGACCTTAAAACGTAAGAATAAGAATATTATAAAGAGCTAAGAACGAAGAAGCTAAAGGAGGGTTAGACCCCTACCTAATTCCTTACTAAATAGTTAGTAATTTATTATAACCTAAGTATAGAAGATATAGAAAACTCGAAAGTAGAGGTATACTAGTTCTTTTTTAAACTACTATCTTAGTTATAAGACGACCTAATTTATTATAAAGTTTTAATTAAGAAAGTACGTAATATAGCTTACGAGGCTAATAGATTATAGTTATTAAATTAGTAGAAAGGTAGCGACTAGTTATAAAAGGATAGTAAAAAGAGGCTATATCCGTTATTAGAGTAACCGCGTTAAATATCCCCTTTTTATAAAAAAAAGAGTAGGGAGAGCTCTAAGGGGCTAAGCTCTAGAAACTTATTAAGAATAATATTATAAAAGCTGTATAATAAAAGTACTCGCGCCGAGCTATTATAAAAGTATCGTAATAGTAATATTAAGTACTTTATATATAATAAGTTAGGCTATATATTTAGTAAGTACTAAAAAAATAAGTTAGGAGGTCGGGGTAATAATAAGCTAACGTACCCCCGATTAAAGCTAACGTTAGTAACTATCTAACGGGTTATTACCGAGCTAAGAGTTATAAAAGTTAACTTTTTAGAAAATAAATAGGTATAAGTAATATACTTAATATACTTATACTAAGTATTAAGAGGGTATTAATAAGAATAATTATAAAGAGTAGGGTAATAGTTTTATAAGGGGTTACTAAAAAGTTAATAAAAATTAATATAGATATATATTCTAAGATAAATATTATTAATACTAAGCTCGTAACCTACTTAGGGTTAACCTTAGCTATTATTATAGCCCCTTTATTAAGGGACTTTTAAAGTAAAGCCGTAAGCTAAAAGAAAGCTTACT